CCTCAATGTGGCAAAAGCAAACGCCAAATTGGCAGTGTCCCGGATGTCCTGTCAAGGGAACCGTGTTGGAAGACTGTTGTTGACAGCTACTACAACTACTACCTGACTACCGCTACTGCCACTGCCACTCCTATGACCACTGACTGGCTACTAACAACAACAACTACTACTACTACTACTACCACTACCACTACGACGACGACTACTACTACTACTACTACTACCACTACTACTACTACTACTACTACTACTACTACTACTCTACTCCTGCTGCTGCTGCTGCTACTACTACTGCTACTGCTACCGCTCGACTACGGCTACTGCTACTGCTACTACTAATTGCTGAGTTGCTTTACTTGCCCCATTGGGGCGGATGCAACCTGACCAGTCATCTTGGTCATCTTGGTCAGGTGGAGTGACCTAGTCATCTTGACCCCCCTCAAGATGACCAAGATGACCAGATGGCCGAGCAAGATGACCAAGTTGACAAGATTGCAAGTTAACCTAGATGACCAGCAACGTCAGTGGTTCTCAATTCCCGGCACGATGTCCTCCTCCTACTACTCTACTGCTGCTGCTGCTCCTCCTCCTACTACTACTACTACTACTACTACCACCACGATTACTAGTACTACTACTACTACTACTACTACTACTACTACCACCGCTACCACTACCACTACTACTACTACTACTACTACTACTACTACTACTACTGCGACGACGACGACGACGATGACGACGACTACTAGTACCAGCATACTACCGGTGTTGCTACGGTTAGAGCTGTCCACATCAATAGAACTCACTGTCGACCTTTGTAAGTCCTGCTCGTCTTCTTCGGTGCACTTTGACATTGATTTCGAAGTTCCGTCTTCATCACTGTCAGTAAAACTCTAACACTCTAAACCGTGCCGTACAACTTCTGTTTGGTTTGTTCACGGTTTCCGATACACGAGTGATCTCGTGGCGGCACGGAAGATTGAGTCACAGCCGCAGAGAAGAGGTCCTCCCAGAGTCGCAGTGGTCTACAACCTATTCGGCATCCACTTGGATCCGACAATCGTGCTTTCGCAAGAGTTCCATGTGTGCTCTATGGTTTTTCAATAGTGGTCTCGTCGAGGCGGATCCCTATGCAACGACAACCACCTCTACAACATAATTATGGCAGTGGCACTGGGATAAGGCAGCCTGTATGAGACCAAGCGCAGCGCTGGGGCTGCACTGCAGGGTTCAGCCATTGAGATGACACTATCGCAGCAACTCTTTGCACAGGAGGGCAGGAAGCCTAAAGACGCATCTGACCGCCTGAAGGCGGCACTCCTCTGAGTGTGCGATGACGCAGGCCGCATGTCGTCATCCAACAATCTGCATCGAAGTGGCCCGAGGAGTGTTAGGTTAACCCGATCACTTGGGAAACTGTAGGTTCAACCACGACTGCTTTGTCAATTTCAGCACTGAGCCTTTTTGTACTACTGCACGCTTGCAGACTACTGCTGTTGCGCAAAGCTCACAGCACGCGAGAGGGATGAGAAGCAGAGCCCACGCTTAAACGCTGAACATTGCTGAAGCCTAGGGCCACTAAAGAAGTAGCATGTGAAAGTCTGCGGCCTTGAGCACCTCATCCAGCTTGGACATTGCCTGGGATGCTGTCAAAGAGACCTGTGATGACCTGTAAGCTATGTGAAGGCTTTAAAGCACTAACCCAGCCAATAGTGACAAGAAGAATGATGTAGTCCATATTATATGCTATATCATGTATACAATGCACAATGAGGTATCACGCAATGCAAAATGAAGAAACACTCACCGTCACTCACTCCTCAAATAACACACACGGTATGATCATACAATCATTCATGTTCATTGTCGGCACAGTAGACGTTACCCTGTGATGAGACCTAGCGGACTTAGCCATGCATCCCACACCTTGAAGCTGCATCGTCTGTCACTGGGCCATGAGCCATTTTCATGTACTCAATCGGCTCCTGGACCTTGACCTCTGAGATGTTGCTTGCTCTAGAGGTCGCGCATATTTCAGAGTCACAGCTGCAGATCGGCGCGTCTCCAGCACTCTAGAGCTTTAATTCCCCGCACAGGCGGCACTCAGCTTTCGAGTTTCACAGTAGCCTTCCCAGATCCTGGCCTTCCCCTCTCCAGGCTGTCCGTACACGTAGTTGTTGGACTCGGACAGGCTCGTGCAATTAAGGCTTCAACTGCCACCTTTCTGTGCCGACGACCAGCAAGTGCACTACATGGCAAGCAAGGAAAGCAAGGCGCAGCCCCGTTGCAGTGTGGGACTTGACAAACCGGGCAGAGCTGCATAGGAGATCTCATCGGCGACTTGCAGGTCCCTGGCCAGTCAACTTGAGTTCTGCGAAAAGTATCGACGTGCGCGATCGCTTGGAGAGAGACACGGAGATACTGTGAGAGAGCGAGAGTGAGGGAGGGGGAGGTGGAGAGGGAGGGAGGAATCGAGTGCTGCATGGGCACGATGCAATCTCGTCCATGAGCTCCAAGACTTGGATCTCCCCCAAGTTGTCACCCAACTGGCGTGCAAGGGTTGCTCAAACGTGGCGCGTGACAGAAAGTGGGCTTCCTCGCCTACACTAACCTTCAGCATTACACGAGGCACCCAATGTTGCAAATGCCGAAAGACGACTAGCAAACAAGGTTAATAATTCATTCGCTGCTAAGAACCACGTCCAATCATGTTCATGCATCTCATGATGAACTGTATGTTGAGTAGCCCGACACCGCACGCGTTCTGCGGATTTTTCTGCACCAGCGCAAGCGGTGGGTGCTCGAAGCTTGCCATTGGTGCTTGCAGCAGCACAGAAGAAGTGGCTGATTCACGAAAAAACTCATGATCACTGTGCTACGAGATGCTCCTCCCACAGTCCAGGTCACTCAAACGAAGGACGAAGCAGCACCCATGCAAACGACATAATATAAACGCTTCGCCCAGCAACTACTCTGCTGATGAATTCAAAACCTAGAGTCCTAGAGACCGGCCATCAGATGCCATTGCAAAGCTGGAAACCCGACATCTCCCGACATGCAGAATCCGAAGGAGGCAGCTTTGGCTTCGAGGTCCCAAAAATATACAGGGACCCAAGTCCAGGCTCCAGGCCTTCTTCAAGGTGTTCTTCTCCAACCCAAGGTTCCAGAGGTAAGACACCGGAGGCGTCTCAGCAGCGGCCAGCTTTCTGGGTTTTGGGAGTCACTTGGAACCCAGTGTGCCCGAGGTCGGCTACAGAAGGCTTTGGGGTTTCGGAGATGCAATATTTCAGCAAACCGCGTTGAATCGCATGGCAGTTTATAACAGTGGAACTTGCCTGGTGGTGCTTCCACATTCCGGAATCTCAAAGTCCTCTCAGCAGGCCCCGCAGTTGCACTGCCCCCACCCCCACTCAAACCTTCAGCACGGAGCGGACGTTGTCCCATTTTTGCTCCTGGCATCAACAAAATCAGGCAGCAGCTCCTGGTACCCTAACATGGCTTGCCCTGTCACTGCAAGTCTCTTGGGCTCACATGGCGGCCTTCAGAATAACATGCACTTGGACTGCTAGTCAGTACTTGTTTGAGCACAGGCCCCTGTCGTTCCCTCCTTCAGCATCTTTGGAAGAGGGTCCAAAAGCTCTCGATCTTGCCTCGCCGCATCCCAGACTCCGGGGTTTTAGGGCTTCAGCGGGGAACAGTTTTCGAGTACACTCTAGGACTGCGTGATTCGAGCCACCATCAAGGCGAATCTAGCAATGCGGCTCATTCGGTCTGCCTTTGACGCCATGTCGCAGACCCAAGGTGTTCGACAAGATTCTCTGCCCAACAGCCCAACAACTGTAAGAAGCAGAAGTGTTGACGATTGGCTACACTAAGCACACCGCCCCAAAAGTATGATCGCTGGCCTAAGCAAGGCTATCAGTTCGTCGTTGCTCTCCGCAGACACAGCCGCTGGTTGCCTTGGAGGGCACCAACAAACGAACCGAAAGCCCACAGACCCATAGGCAGCAGTGGCTAAGAGACCCACTCGCATTCCGTATTTAGCAATGTGCCAGTTTATGATGACAGCGCATGAGGCATGTCCCAACGACCCCTACGGCGCTGCGGCGTGGTCACGTCTGCCAACTCAGCTCAGCTAATGTCGCTTCGTGTGGTTCAGACAAGATCCGGGCATCATGGTGGCACCTGCAGCCAGCAGCACCTTGCGGTTTGTTGGTCGAAGGTCTTGCAAAGCAAAACAGTTCCGTAGCGAAACGCGCGAATGCTTTTTCATGCTGATCATGCTGAAGGTAGGGCGAATGCTAGGCATTCCATCATATCCATGGAAGCAGGCACGGCAATTGCGATTTCTCCCCAGTCACAAGACCAAGATTAGAACGGTGCATGGGCTCTAAGATTTCATGAGAACGCTTGCCGCGCAAAACCTGCTCAAAGGCGATCTGGGAACGCCTTTTCTGTCGCAGTTAAAAACCCAGTGCAACAGCCGCTTCTCTTCTGAAGTCGACGGCAGAGATTTGAAGCAGAGACATACTGGCTGCTGAAAAGCATGACTCAGTAAGACAAGAGAGCGGCCACTCGTACACCTTGGGAATGATGGGAGAGACGGGATGGCCAGACTAGTCTCTGGGGTTTGCCATCTTAGCCGGGTCTGTCCATGCCCGGCTCCCTCAGAAGTCAAAGCGCAGCGCTTTGCGCTCCGGTCTGTTTGGAGAGACATGGGATTTCATGCGAAAGGCCTTCCTGAACCGTGGCAGTGGATGTTCGCCTCCGCTGGACTCGGTACTAAGCGCTTGCTCTCGTATGTCTTTTTCCTTAAAACGTCAAGAAGGTCTTGTGCGAGATATGGGCTCTAGTCACCTTCACCTGCTCGGCAGAACCGGCTTTGAGGATGACATGAGTGAGACGTTCGATTGTCCAATCCTCAGGGAGGTTGCGAGCATTGAATCACAAAGGTTCTCCTTCGACTTGTCATCGCCCATCTTGAGATTGAATTGGCATCACTGGTATGGGAGTCCGAGGTGTGGGACAGTCTGTTTGGCTCTGGCCCTCGGATTCTTGGCCTTGCCTCCTCTCTTCCGCTTCTTCTGTGTTGCTGGTTGCGCCCCCGCAGGAAAGCTTCTTTGACGATCGGATACATCAACCCGACTACCAAGAGCGACGAGTTTCTCTTCTGAGGCTGCTTCCAACTTCGCCAACTCCCATCGCCAGCGACCGCAACCATGGACGGAAGCCTGTTTTGACTTCAGCAGCATGTCTATCACATCCTGGATTTCACAGAGGCGGGGCTTCTTGACGAGCTCCTCGCGTAGAGCGCCTGCTAACCCCAAGCACTGGTCCCCTTGCTTGGGGCATCTCACAGGAAGTGCCATCAAACAGGCGCCCAGAAGGTCACTCCGAGAACACTCGTCCAGGGGCTCGACATGATACGACGGTGGCTTCACATCGAAGAGGATGTCTGTTTGCTCATCTTGTTCGCACAGCCGAAAGTTCTTCGAGACCTTTCCCTGGCTACGGATTGGTTGCTCCGACATGAAGATCCAATCTGGTAGCTCGTTTAGCTTCTTCAACAAGTAGCACATGCTTCGGATCCTCTTCAAGGTAGGGGGAATTCCTTCATATTCGCACGCCAATGCGCAGTCGTACCTTAAAACAGCACGCACACAGACGCAAAGCAGCATGGACAGACCTAGTCATTTTTGTTACACAGCTGCCAAGAAGCAAACCAGCCTCGAGCCAATCCGTTGCAGTGCCCTGGTATCCTGAAGGCACCTGGTTCCTGAGCACGGCGTGGACGTGCCCACCCTTCTTCGGCCCAGGAACGAAAGGCAGCTAGAATCAGACTTTCGGTCTGTGTTGGCTTAGCGTTGTTGGAACCTATGCGTGGTTCCCGGCGCACAACCGCAGCGAAAACTGTGCGAACGGAAATCCGAAAAAAAATCGGCCGACTGACACGGGAAAAATAGGAAGCACGCAAAAATGCATAAATGGCATAAATGACCAAAGCCATACCTTACTCCGCACGGTCTGGTAAACAGACATGTGAAAACACCACTGGCATTCGCTACCGCAGCTCGCTGTAAAGTGGTCAAAACGGAGAATATAGAAAATCCGAAAGTGCGAAAACATGCCATTGAACTAAAACTGAACAAGCAAAAAACAAGTCAAAGTGCAAAAACAGACCACTGAACGAAAAACATAATATTGAAACAGTCGAACGAAAACTAGACGTGCAAAAGCAGGCCACCGAACGAAACGGGTAATAGGAGAAAGCTGCGTAAACATAAATGAATATGTAAAACCGGCCACAGACCAAAAACTGTACGGCGCCTGTTTTAAAACACCCGGACATTTAAACAGCTTA